TATATATATATATATATATTATATATTATATATATATTATATATATAAGGGGTGTGGGAAGAGAAGTGCGTTCTCTCGCATCGACCTGGAATGCTGCCGTGTTTTGATGTGCCTACTATTGCGCATGAAAAAATTCTCCTGCCCTTGACAATAGCCTATTTACCCGAACCAGGCCGCCTTTATACCGCGCTTACCAGTGATAACAGGGGTTCAACCACCCACCTACGTGTGCATCGCCTGTCCCACTCTCTTTTTCTCTACCTCTACGTATTTCCTCTAAACGTATAAGCAGCAAACGAACGAGCGGCCACGAGCGTGCGCGCGCGCGCACACACGCTTCTGCGTGTATTGTGTACACGTGAAAACGCCCGCGTGTGGCTGTCCTCTGTATCATCGTGTATACAACAGTTTCTTTATATGTTCCTGCCTGCCTGTCTGCTACGTATATACGCACCAATCATTCCTGGTGAACGCAATAAATTGCATTATTCGACGTGATAATAAACAGGCACGCAATTGCCTGATTTTAAGCTCGGATCAACAATTCCTCCAGGTTCTTGTGTAATTCCCCGATCAAAGATATTCGCAGATGCGAAATATGTAAATGCTAGTGAATGACTTGACTGTTCACTTCGTGGATTTTGTGCAATCTCCAGCCCTGGGATACCACGAGGAGCCACGAATCGTGGCGGGCGAAATTAGATGAAACCGCGTGACAGGTGGAATACAAAATCCATCGAGAACCGTAATCACGAAAAGAAATATCATCAACTTTTACGTTTTATCAAGAAATTCAGTTCACGAAGTGTCGTTGATTTCTTCTCGAAGGACCAATCATTCTTTTAATTTTCTAACCTCAGTAAACGTGATTAGTCGACGATACGTATTCGTCTGAATCGCATCAAAGAGACCGATCCATGCGACGCCCTTAGTACACACTGAGTGCACATGCACTGTGGTGGCGTGTTATTGCTTATTTACCCCTGACACGTGCTTCCACCGTTGGCGTGCCTCGAGTACAACGATATCGACGACAACTTTTCCACGACAAAGGCAGCGCGGCGGACACGTTGCTTTGAAAGGAAAGAACAAGAACACGATCGCACGGCTTTTCAAAGGTGTTGTTTTGAATTTATCTTTACGTCGATGACCTCAAATAATAGTGCTGATTGAGATATCTACATATGTGGTGTTTCTGCAGTGAAAAAAAAATCGTTCGGAACTGTGCTTCTTAAAGCGAACTGCTACTCTGACAACGTGGGTGGGAACGTGTATTCTACCACAATGAACTATCGATATAGCGTGTTGGAGTAGATGTGCGTAATGAATTGATTATCCGTAATAATTTATGTACCATATAAATGGTACAATATAACGCGTCAATAGAGAAGGCACAAAACTTTTGGCGACAACGGCCTTTTTCGATCGTCGCTGTGACGATGTCTTCAAGCAGAAATTTAGTCTCCCCCTCAGGAGGTCCTGTTGTTCTCTCCGGACACGTGAAGAAGCTAAAAACTCAGAAGAAGAAATTCTTCGTGCTGCGTGGCGAGGCACCAGGATATCCTGCGTGCCTCGAATATTACGATAGCAAAAAGAAATTTGAAAACAGGCAGCCACCGAAGCGTAGCATTTTGTTGAACAGTTGCTTTAATATTAATAGACGCATGGACACCAAACACAAACATGTTATCGCATTGTACACGAAAGACGAATGCTTTTGCTTGATTCTGGAGAGCGAAAAAGAACTGGACGAATGGCTGAAAGCGATGCTTTTACTTCAGAGCGGAGATGTAGCTGATGGAGAGCAACCTCGGCCTATATTTGGTAATGTGCTATTACGGTTTGAATTAGAATTAGGCCGCGTATTGAAGAAGACGAAAAACATGATTCATACGCCGAGGAACTTTCCAGTTTTAAATAAACATTCGCCATTTATGAATATAAATTTCATTAAAGTGTCATATTTTGAACTTTCAGTTTGTTGTCTTTTCAAATACGTCATTCTGCAATTTTATGGTAAAGAATAACGAGATCAAAGATCAAATTAAGAATTGCACTTACTGTTTAACAAATAAAACACGTTTTTTTTCCTTTTTTTTTTTTGAATATACATATTCATGATTTGATAATTTTATTGCTTGTCAAACTGTTATAGTTACATTTCTTGAGGAACTGTGTAAAATAAAAAATATTCTTCTTTATTTTCGGAAACATATTGTAATAATTTATAAACAATTCTTATAAAGTTTGAATATCTTTTCATTTATGTATAGATACATATATTGCACTATGATGATTATGAATTAAATATAATAATTGTGCTTTATTTACTTCATAATACTATGTTATATATTGTTAATTATGAGGAGGTATAAATATTTTATTTCAGAACATGTATGGCAAGTTACAATGCAGAAAAAAGGATTAGGTGAAAGATACAACATTCATGGCCCTTATAGGCTATGTTTAACTGATCGAACATTACGTTTGGTGAAAATTGGGGCAAAGGATAATTCAGATCCTAGTTTTCCTAGTTTTCTAGATTTTCCGGTAAGCTTTCTATTTTTATAGATGAAATAGTCTGAGAGCATATAAGACTAATGCAAGATTTTTGTTTCATAGCTAACTCGTATCAGAAGATGTGGATATATGGAACGTATCTTTTATATGGAAGTGGGTCGTTCAGCTGTCACTGGTGGTGGTGAATTGTGGATGGAAGCAGAAGACAGTAACATAGCAAATAACATGCATGATGCTATTATGAATTCCATGAGCAATTCAGGACCACGCGAAAGAGTTCATAGTTCTTCTGCTGCTGATGCCAGTGTATTACAATCTAGACATACTGGATCAAGATTCCATAATTCTCCATTAGGTGAGTCATAATTTTAAGTAATTGCATTTATCACTTTATATTTTGATAGAATATCAGTTATGGTTTTTAGCTCAAAAACTGACCTCCAAAGTATATTTTCAGTTATGTAAATACCTTTATGGTGTGTTCATGATATTTTAATGTTCTGGTTTTTTTTTTTAAACACTAAACATTTTATACAGAAGCTTCTTTGTACAGAAATCATCCTACGAATTCCTTTTGCTTCTATGTGTAAGTTATCGAAGACATCGTTTATTTTTTTTTGTTTCTTTTTTTTTTTTTATATATCAAACCATAACTGCACTACATTATGCCTCGAAATATCAGCTGAATCACGAAATGTACAATTGAAAACTCAGCTTTAGAATAACACAAATGGGTTGCGGGTATTACAGAGGAACACAGGACGCACGAGGAGCAGGTGGATGCAGTTCAACAACAGGAGCAGTTTAATCAGACTCAGAGTACCTCTTCTTGCAATACAATCACGGGTCTGTTTTCTGTCATTGCAGTTGTATGCTTCTTTTTCTTATAAAATGTGGGCATCAAAGGGTGATAAACGCGATTTTAGTTCAACATACTTAAATTTGTCGTATAGCCTATTCAAAAGTTTTTATTTGAAATCAATGAATTCTAAAAACACAATTCGTGTTCATTTAAATAAAATTCAAGAAAAATGTATAACTTCTTTCTTATTTTTATTTCATTATTTTACATTAATTTTTTAATTAAAGATTTTGATTAAATTTTCATAGAATAGCCAAATAATTACACAAAAACTGTAATAACTTGTTAATCGAGAAACTTATTGACAAAACCAACGAGACTTTATCGATTACTATGCTCAAAAATGAGTTCCTAGTATTGCACAATATGTTTCAACACCATACATACATATGACGTTCACGGAAATACATATTAACGAGGCCGAATAGAATGAAAACAAATATAGATTGCTTTCTTTAAACAAAATTTCATTCAATTTCTAAAAATTGGTCAACCATGTTCTCTTACTAGATAGAAATCTTTTTGCATTCATGATGTTCTGATACATATAAATCATTATTCCTTCTGATAAAAATCTTTCGAGCAAATCTCAACCTCAACATTATCATTAGCAGGTCGATTAAATTTTTATAAAAAGTATGTGAGAAAAGAAAAGTAATTGTACAACAGTGAGAGCTGTATGGTTTGCAGTCGTTGCTGGTACCGGGGCTGGGACTGCTGGGATTGCCTCGACTAATACCAACTGTGCCACTACCACTAGACGTCGTCATTCGGTAGCGAGTCATCCCCAATCCGTCAATAATTCCCAATCCGTTCATGTTACAACAATTACAACAACTACAACAACAACCACTACTATTACCATCACTACGACCGCTACCGTGACCACCACAACCACAACCGCGACAATTTCCCATCAGAGAACCTTGTCGCTGCCCTTAGCTGCCATTATCAATCAAATACAATCATCCAAAAGATCAGTTTTACGCTGTATGTATTTTTGTTTCGTCATATGATAAATCAGCAAGAGATATTCTTCGTTTCTCTTTCAGTGTCTCTGCCTCGCTATTTCCTGTTTTATTTTCTGCCCCTTCTTGTTTATATACTTCATTCCTTTTTATGGGAATCCAAATTCCCAAGCAAACATGTTCAAAATTGAAATTACTTCATGTTGCGTCATATATAATTTATCTCTCCACGAGATCGTCGTATTGCCGTGGAAATGCAAGCTTCTACTCGCATGTGATTAGTTGCACGATACTTCATAATGAAGTAATACTTCTTTTGTCGTGCGAACAAATTGATGGAATATTTCTTACAGCATTCAGTTTCAATAATATCGTGTTTTCTCGTTTATTTTTCATTACTAGACTGCGGATTTTTATGCATTTTTAAAATTTTGTGAACGCTGAAGAAATGGAACCTAACTAAAATTTGCTTTATTTACTACATATCATAATAAATACTCTACTTTAGATATTTTATATATTTTTATATATTACTACATTTTTATTTTATATATTTTTATATATTATACATTTTTCTGTCTTCCAACTTAACATTCATAAAAATCCACAGTTCATTTATTGTCAATCTCGCCCTATATGTGAAATTGATCTCTTGACTATTTTTTTATTTTTTTCATAACATCTTGCATATGATTTGATATATATATATCTCTAGCTATTCTCATCATTTGGAAATCTTTTTGGCCACTTCATTGCTTGATCTAAAATATATGTTTTAATAATAACAATCTGTATAACTGAATTGCAAAAATACATATATAGATCTATGGAATCATTTGATTATGCAAATGAACTAACCGGTGCTATGCTGGGAAGATGGGTGCTTTATGAATTTCGTTTCTTAGACTGAGTGTTTTATAACATGTCTGATTAATATGTTCCTAGGTACAAATGTGCGTGACAGATGTGACAGTTTACCATCGGGTCGTACCACCAGCGAGAGTCATCCAACAACGGTACAGAGTTATCCTAGGAGTTCTCCTTTTGTACCTCACGTGTTGAGACCGCATTCTGTGTATGTAATGAAAGGAGTATCCTACTCACCACCGATTACTTCGATGCCTATCAGTCCTGCTTCCGGCGCATGTTCTACAGACTCCGCGGGATCATCCCTTTCAATGGATGATGGTGGTGAAAATGTATTAGAAGAGGGTACTGTTTCAAGATACGGCCACTCTTTGACACCTGATGAACCTGTTATTTTAGAAGAGAATGGTGATGATTATGCTCCATGGTCTACATCTCATTCGCATCATAAATATTCACCAAATTTCAAATCGCATTCTCCTTCTCAGGTGGGTCATTGATACGTTTGATAGAATGAGTAAAATATGAATTAATGAAGTTCTATTTATTTTATGAGTAATACTTGTTTATTTGAATATGTTTTGTGTAATCATACGTAGCTTGTATACTTATCTATAAATATGACATTTTTATGTATAAATACAATAATATTATATATATATATATATAGTACATATATATATATATATATTTACGATTCTTGGCATATATTAATAATTTTATTTTAATAAAGTCTAAACTTCTAAAACGAGTAAAAAAAGTATTTTCTCTAAATAATAATCAAGCTATTTTTCTGGTCCTATCATTGTTATTATATTTCCTAGTTATTTATAGGATAATTTGAAATAAAGAATTAAATAATAATAAATTTACTAACGTAATGGATAAATGTGTTTAGGAATTGAAATTTATACTGCATTATTATTGTGAAATATATTGCATCATCTGATGGAGACAGTTAAATGACGAAAATAATAACGCGTACAATTTTGCTTTGTTTATAGCAAAGTTCCTATATAGAAATGTGCAGCCCTTGTGGATCAAGTCCTGGTCGCAGCGGAGCCTACATGCCAATGAATTCAGGAACGGGACATTCGCATTCACGTGGGTCTTCCCTTGTAGAGGAATCAAATACTTTACCGGAAGGTTATGTACCTATGGCACCTGTTGGAAACAACGGGTATGTCGACATGGATCCTTCACATAATCACAATGGCCATTTCTCCGATGATCTGTCCCACGGTGGCAGTAGCTGTTCCGTTACATCTGGAACACCTAGTACAGATTTACGATTTTCTGAGTATCATTTAGATAAAGTAACGAGTTTTCTCCCACCTGGAGAAGATTTACAAGCTAGACCAGCAAGAGCCTATTCTATTGGATCTCGGCCAGAACCTGTAAATAGGCATCGTAAAAATAGGTATAAATGTTAATTCTATTAATTTTATGTAGTATAGGATATTAGAAGAGAATTTTTTATATAAACGTAGCCATTTTATATAAACGCATCGATGCATTAAATAACCATATGTATGTTTTGTTTTTGATAGACTGGATATTACTCAGCAAGAAACTAGTAGAGTGCGAGCGTTCTCTGTAGGTAGCAGATCTAAAAGACCTGAAATCGGAAGATTAGCAAATATAGTCACTGCACCGTTACCAGTTGGTTGTGAAAGCACGACCTCGAATAAGTCGAATTCAGCACCGTTATTGTCGAGCTCTTGGGGACACAATTCCGGTTGTTCTTTAACTTCTGAACGGATGGAGGACCTAATGGAATTGGACTTTACGAAACCTAGTATTTCGACAACCTTTAACTCACCTCCTTCATCTTATTCGCAGTCGCAATCTCAATCACATTCGTATTCTACTGCCACCGATATCAGTTCCTACGTTGATATGTCTCCTGGACAACCGCCATCGTCGACCACTGCCCCATACGTCGATATGACCCGCATAAATAAGGTATTATATATATAGATTGAAATTAATTTATTTATAAATTTTAATATTGTATATAATAACAAAATTTTTGAGGTTGATTTTATTGTAAAACTAATTTGCTTTTCGCCTAATAATTAATTTCACTTTTATATTAATTCTTGGTTGTTCAATCTTCTATTAAATTTTTTTTGCAGATTAATCGTAATAACAATAATAATACAATCACTGCCAATCAGAATCATAGTCACGTACATGTATCGTCCTCTGCTTCTATACATAAACCTGTAATTACTACTTTGAAGCCAGTGGAAGAAGCAGAAGGACCATACATGAGAATGGATGGTATAATGGAGGATTGGTCACAATCCGATACAAGCCCTAAACAAATTTCCTCGCCTATGCAAGAGGAATGTGTGCAATCAAATGGACCGCCAGGTAAAAGATAGATTTGCTTGACAATCTTTAAATGAATATGCGTTAATTAATTAACTATTTCACAGCTTTTTAAAAATATAAAAATGATTTTGTTTTCTATATTTAATTATTTTCAACAACAGCGTGTGTAAATCACTCACTGAAATATTTGTTCAAAATATATGTCTTTAATAAATTTAATTATACACATATATCTAACATGTAGATGTGATTTATGTCTTAGGAGCTACGAGAACAGCACCGGTCGATCTTCCACGGCGACCACCTGCCGACTATGTTGATATGAGTTTCAAATCAAGAACAAGCTTAGAGCAAGACTACATAAATATGAATATGAGCAGTCGAAACAGTCGTAAACCAATAGCAACACGAACTGGTAGTCGAAAAGAAAAGTCACGTTCGCAGCCAATTGCGATCCAAGCGGGAAATAAACCTATAAAAACGCCTAGTTTCTTACCTCTAAACGGAAGTCCGGAATCAGAAAGTTTAGCAAGTACACCCGCGACACCGCCACGAGCAACTCCAACAGGTTCCTCAGCGACTATTTTTCCTTTTTCCTTAAACAGTCCACAATCACCAGAGAAATCATTTACTCATCAAAAAAATACTGACGAATCTTCACAACTGAATATGACTTCTAAACGTAGTACGATTGCGAAAACTACGAATAGTAGTAGAGTGAGCACGGTCAATTCTATTTTTGTAACGGAGGCGAATAACACTTTGCCGAAAGTAATTAATGATAGACCGTCTAGTCCTACAAGGAAGGATAGTCAAGTTAGCCGCGTAATATCAAACAACTCGTTGACCTCGCAAGATAGTACGTTGAACACTGTAACAAAAAAGTTTTCTGATTTAAACGTATCATCGAAGCCACGTTTGATCACTGCATCTCCAAACACCAGTCCGACGTTATCTGGTTTTAAACCAACCATCGAAAAACAACCTACGTCGCCCAAAATACCAGATGAAACGCCAACACCTACACCTACCGCTATGCCAAGTCCGTTAGAAAAGGAGAATTTCGATAAAGTGCAACTTGATACGGAAATTTTGCACTACGCTAGTCTAGATCTTCCTGAGGTTGTTAACGCCGTACCTATTTCGTCAGCGTCCCAAGAAGGCTTCAATTATGCTAAAATTGATTTCGCTAAACTTAAATAAAACTGAACGGCCATTATTCGAAATAGACGAATGGCGGCATCAATATTATATGTATATGCATCACGTGTCGTAAAATGGTATATCGATTTTCTTCATTGACGAATATCAACAGGACAATCGATCGTTCTAACATTGGTCGAGCTGAATTGATTAGAAAACTTCAGTTTTTAATTGAATCAGGGGTGCTGGATGTAAAGTATAAGTAGACAAGCTTTGTTTCTTTATTCTTAAATTTTAAATTGAAATCATTTTATTCATTGTACGTTTCTGGCTCTGCCAAAAAGGCAAAGGATACAATTTGTATACAATTTGTAGTCTTTTTATTGAGCATAACAATTATGGAGAATATTGTTGTAAGTTAATCTCTTTTCGAGCTTAAGTATTATTACCTTCCATTACTCTATGATTTTTGAAACGTATAAATTATTTTCCCCGTTTTTCCATTTTTCTTATTCTTTTTTTTTTTATATGAATTATTTTTCCAATGAAAAAACATTGATATTAAGAATGAAATTGAAATTTTATCGCGTTCTACTTGCTCTGGAAGCAAACGTTATAAGTAGTATTTTATGTTGTAAAAATAGACATAGTTGTCAATTTAGAAAAAAAAAGAAAAGAAAAGAATGGTATTCATCGATTGTTTTAAATCTATTTTTAAATTTTATGATTAATCTGATGTTATTACTGATCATGTTAAGTTTTGTAAATTTGATTGATCTTAAATTTGCAACGATAATACTAGTAGAAGCATGAATATTAATTGCGAGCAAACAGATATGGCGTTATTTTCTCAGCACGAGGAACAGGCTATATGCTCGCCAATGTTGGATCGATGCAAAATTACTGAAACTGTATATTTCAGACAGGTGTTCGTCGTTTACGATGAATATATATTATACATATTACCACGCTTTTTCATATGAATTATCAACTACCGAAATGCTGTTTCACACAATATTTTCACATTCTTGTACATTTAAATATGAATGTGTGCGCTGCGCATGTTCCTACATGTTCATTCAGACATATACACATACTTATAATACGCATTTACAGGGTATTCTGTAAAAGATGGTACAACTGGAAAGAGAGATGATTGGTTGTGTAAAAATAAATTAAAGACCAGTCGTAATGAGATGTTGTTGCTAAAAAGTAGAAAGAAAAAAAAAAAAATGTTTCTTATACTACTGATGTTTTATGAGTTCGATTTTAATGACATACTCCTCCTCGCATATAATTTAAAGGTAGTCCGAATATAAAATATATGATGTATATACATATGCATTGTCTAAATAATGCTATAAATATATACATATGTGAAAATATGTATGTATTATATATAATATAATATATATCGATATATAGAAATATGTTCATATATATTATATATATCACGTTATATAATATACGTAGGTATATTAATAATGATTAAAGCAGTATATTGCTGTTCTTCATTATGCGACTCTTATACGTGTGTATATGTATATATATATATAAAATAATTCCCTCGAATGCTCCTCCGAAGGTTAACGAGATAAAGAAAAATGACATGTTGAGTGTATTATTGTATAATAATGTTATTGTAACGTGTACATTATTCGATTTAAGATTATTATTTGACTGACACTAGTTGAAGTAAGTTTTTATTTTTTAAAAAAATCGAAGCATACGCGAAATCTTTTTTTTGTTGCAGATTAACATAATGTCCGTCCAGTTGAAATAGATCGCGTTGTAATAACTTTTTAGTTTTCTGATGAAAGAAGTTCCGTTTGATTTAAGAATTAACATGTAAATATAGAATCTTTCGCAAATTATAAACCTGAAAATTGTATTGTTTTTTGTTCGTAGATTTTTATATTTCTTTTTCTTTTTCGTTTAATGAAATTCTTAAAATAATTAAATATTTGTATAAAAGACAGAAAAATCAAAATACGAATCGAATTTTTTCTTTAATCTTTAAACGAGTTCATTCACATACGTTTGAATGAGAAATTTTTATTTTTTGTATTAAAAACGGTTTTATTTTTTATTAGAGAAAATTACATCTTTTCTTTTTCATGAAAATTAATTTGTCAATTAATTATTTAAATAATCACATATGGTTCGTAGTATTATACTTTAAGTTGAAAATAATAATTTTACAAGTATTATCTATATGTAATTATCTTATAGGCTACATATGTAGGCTATATATGTAATTATCTTATAGGCTTTTCACAGTAGGATCTTTTTGATATACTTATTTTATTTATTTCAGTTCTTAAGAATTTTTAATATTTATTGTCAGTTGGTTTGCCGAATTTTATTTCAATAATCAAATAAATTCACTGACAAGACATATAAATTATATCAACAAAACAAATCTGATCATCATATCTGATATATATATTTTTAAAGTTTTTATATTTATATTTATAATTTTAAAGTCTCGTTTTTATTTTCAATAATTTGATGTTAATTTAAAGAGGGATTTGTCAATCAAATTGAATGGCTTTATAATGTTCTAGTGCTAAAATTGGGAAGTGTTAATTTCCTAATATATGTAGGTGTACATTACAACTTACTAATGTTGGCTTAAATGTACATATAAAATTTAAATATAATATCTAATAATAAGTATTTTATTGATACGTCAAATATTTATTTTAATATCAAATAATTTAGACTTAAGAGAATTGACTGTTTTTCTTTTTTAATATGTGATAAAAGTAATATATATCCATTGTGTAAAAATCTTAAGTTTCTTACGATTATAAATCATGTTAGTATAATGTTTTTCAAGTTAAGATTTCTCAAACATTAAGATTTACTTTTAAATCTTGTTCATTTTTAGTGAATTGAAATTTTTATTTGCCGTCA